TTTACCCTAATTTATGGTAATATGTGTGCATGTGGTTGTTGAATTAGTATTCTGGAGGTGTGCCTATATTGGCAGAAGTTATAAAATACAGATAATGCATTTTTGTAAACATTGTATAGGAACATTGTTTAGCTAAACAAATCGTGCATATTGCAGATTAACAAAGCAAATAAACACGTATTAATAATTGATATTTCAATATTGAATTTCAGTGTGCAATATATGCATAATAAAACGAACATGAACTAATGACAGTTGATCGGAATACACAGTTAATTTTCCGGCATTTGGTGTCTTATCCTGAGACAAGAAAAGTCTGTAATTCTTTATCTCATTTAAGCCAATAGCTGTTGCTGTATCTCAGCCGCATCATAAAGCAACCAATCAGAATTTATATGTGATTAGTAATTATTTCAAGATGGCTTGTTTATCGACTGAAACTAATAGCTCCGCACTGTGCGAAGCAATTATAGGCACTTGTATGGCCTTCAACAACAGAAAAACACATACTGTATAGTATTGTCTATAAAAGCATGTTTACTGTTAACAATTTACCTATTCTATTTATATAGCTTCAATTAAGTATGCATATACATATGAGTTTTTGAATATTTCGGGAAACTATTCAATAAGGTAGACAAATTTAGATACATTGATCAATGTTGATATTGTAAATTCAGAAATTATTGAGAGGTTTTTATTGTGATTAATGCGACTACGTGAGAAATATAGAATAAAGGACTTTTTGTTTTTGATACTGACTTTATCATGGTAAAATATATTTTACAGTGATAAAGTCAGTATCTTAAACATGTTAAACAAAAAGTCCTTTATTTTTTTTATCTGTAATTATGAAAAAATGAAAAATACTATAATAAAAAAAGAAAAGAACAAACAATCTACAGTACTTTATTGTGTTGAATCACAGCGAATCACACTTGACGTCACAGGTTGCATTACACCATTTGAAGTTTGTCATAGTCATGACAGTGCATAAAACATGTTGTTCTCTTTCACAAAGTATTGAAAATGAATAATTAATGCATGCGTTCCATTGTTTCTGCTTTAAACATGCCTTAAACAATGCAGAATGTCATGAATGTATTGCAAACATACCGATAAGTCAAATTTCTTTTATCTGTATGATGCAGTAAAGGGCCAAGTGAGCTTTTCTCATCACTTGGCGTCCATCGTCCGTAGTTATCCGTTAACTTTTACAAAAATCTTCTCCTCTGAAACTGCTGGGCCAAATACAACCAAACTTGGCCTAAATCATCCTGAGGGTATGTAGTTAAATGTATCCGATGACCCTGGCCATCAACCAAGATGGCCGCCATGGCTAAAAATAGAACATGGGGGTAAAATGCAGTTTTTATATGACAGCAAAAAATTTATTTGGATCGTATAATGGTATGAAGTCGTAATCATCGTCTGCGTCGTCATCCGAAGACACATTGGTTTCCAGACAATAACTTTAGTTTTAGTGAATGGATCTGTATGAAATTTTTTAAGAAGGTTCAATACCACAAAAGGAAGGTTGGGATTGATTTTGGGGATGATGGTCTCCAGTCAGGGATATAACTCTATAGGGTTATTACAGAAAAATAACATACATTTGTTATTGTGGACTAAAAAATCAAAGAACTGTGATAACATATGTATGTTACATGTTTCAAAGGGACAATATACATCACTAGTTTAGTTAAAATGCATACAAGTTCTATTGATATTACTATTGTCTTTATGTATACTTAACTAAAGAAAGATATAACAGTTCGTAGTTCGCCAATTTTGCATAGTACACCTATATGTTATTACAGAAAAAATATGCCTGTAATAACTAAAGGGTGTTATCACAGCTTCTCTTTTATCACTCCAAAGCATTTTCTCAGACATACATCATGCTTAATTACAATGTATTTTAATTTATTGTAAGAAATAATGACCAGAGCATGTAATGAGGTTCTGCGCAAGCTTCCCAGTAATTCCCAAGTGTCTCATATTATAGGTTACATTCCTTTAATAACTAAGCTATGTTATTACAGCTAATTTTATCCCTTAAAAGCCTCGTCTCATTGATTAACCATGGTTATTCAATAATGTATTAATATAATTAAAGAATTAATTATCAAGGCTATGCATTTAGTTTCTGCGCAAAGTCTCAAGAGTTCCCTAGAGCCAATAATAAATTAAAATATTTTTGATTTATTTTACAAGTAACAAACATATGTTATTGCAGATTTAGAAAATTTAAGGAATAAAGAGTAGACAACTCATGAAAGTATCTGTAATAACACACACAAGTTATTTTCTGTAATAACCCTATAGAGTTATATCTCTGACTGGTCTCAACTGTTTAGGAATTAGGGGCCCAAAAATAGTCCAAAACAAGAATTTTTCTAGTTTCAGGATAATAACTTGTGTATAAGTATTTCGATTGCTCTGAAATTGTACCACAATGTTTAATACCACAAGTAGAAGGTTGGGATTCATCTTAGGGGTTATGGGGCCAACAGTTTAGGAATTAAGGGCCAAAAAGGGGCCAAAAACAAGCATTTTTCTAGTTTCCAGACAATAACTTGTGTGTAAGTTTATGGATCCCTCTGACATTGTAACACAAGGTTCCATATCACAAAGGGAAGTCTGGGATTGAGTTTGGGGTTAATTGCCCAAAACATGTAGGAATTAGGGGCCAAAAAGGGCCAAAAACAAGCATTTTTCTAGTTTCCAGACAATAACTTGTGTTTAAGTGTATGGATCTCTATAAAATTGTACTACAAGGTTCCATACTACAAAGGAAAGGCTGGGATTGAGTAATGGGGTTATTGCTCCAAGGAGGGTTTCAAAAAGTAGGGGGGGGATTTTTTTTCCAATTTTTTTAAGGGATACATATTTTTTTTTCAAAATTTTTCATATTTCGAATTTTTGAAAATTTTCAAGAAGAAATCTTTCATTGCACAGTATTGCGCAATAAATTTGAAAGATCTTTGACCACATTTATTTTGTGTCAGAAACCTATATTATGTCAAAAATTTGATCACAATCCAAATTCAGACAGTATCAAGCTTGAATATTGTGTCCAAATTTGCCCCAACTGTTCAGGGCTCGACCTCTGCGGTCATATCAGGCTGCGCTCAGCGAAGCATTTTATTGGCTTATATCTCTGAAACTAAAGCATTAAGCATGTTAAGAGCAAATTTGACATGCGGTAAAAATGTTCATCAGGTCAAGATCTATCTGCACTGAAATTATCAGACGCATCAGACAACCCCTTGTTGGGTTGCTGCCCCTGAATTGGTAATTTTAAGGAAATTTTGCAGTTTTTGGTTATTATCTTGAATATTATAATAGATAGAGATAAAATGTAAACAGCAAAATTGCTCAGTAAAGTTAGATCTACAAACAAGTCACCATCACCTAAACAGAGAATTTTGTCATGAATTCTTTTCTTGTCTTTAATGTTGTAGAGTGTCCTTTGTTTAATATGCACTGCAGCACATAGACCAAGGTGAATGACACAGGCTCTTTAGAGCCTCTAGTTTTACATACATGTAGCAAAGAAGCATACGATTTGAATCATTGTTTTAGAAGTTCCGGTAAAATCTGTTATTTACTTGTAAATTATCAGATGGATAATTTCCTTTAAAATCACATCTTATCCTTATACGCTTGGCGTTCAGCCAGAAGACGATCACACTCATTCATGATTTTAGGAAAGCACTCTGAAAGCAGACAATTATTTTTTCAGGTGTGGGCAGCATGTTTGTAGATTATCTGAAAGCTCATGTCTTGTTAACCTCATAATTATTTCAAATATTTCAATGAATGTAACTCGAGCTCAACTTTGGTCTATTATTTAGTTTTCATGTTTTTTTTTCAAGTCATGTCATTTATTTTTCAACCTGGACCGTTGAAATATTGAAGGCCCTACCGTAACCTGTAATTTGTTCACTTATTTGTTTTTCGGTCTATGAATCATCATAAATAACTGTCGATACATTGGCAATAAAATCACATCTCCTTGTCCCATAAAAAAAAGATAAAAAAATGTGTATATTTTATTTTTTTGATTTTAGGGTCCATCCTGTGATTGCGGTACCTTTTTGGTCACCATTTATGTGTTGCGTCTAAATATGAATTGTAACACTTTATAGTGACTGAACAGGTTGAAAAAATCCTCCTCGAGAAACAGAAAAAGAAGACACATTGGAACAGCACCATACTATTTAACATTCAAGCTAAGCTGCTTATAGATAGATCTATAGGGATAGTAAGGTAAGCTATCAATAGATTAAATAATAAAGGGGATATATGAGTCATTCCACGGTAGTGGCTAAAAATAGACTTCTCATTTAAAACAAGTAAAAACTAAGTCTTTGGTCTATATTTAAGGTCATTTCGTAATGTTATGCTTTAAATAGCATATCAAAGAAATAAAAGAAGATATAATTTCGGTTGTTAATGTTTTTTTAAATATATTTTGAAACCAGTTTATGATGAAGTAGGGTAAAATAATCGGCCATTTTCTGGGACATCCTTGGTACGGTGTTTTCAATTATACACAAATACGTTATATTTGTATATTTATGTTTTATTGAGTAATCTATGGTGAAGTAGATGGTTTAAACCGTTATTATACGCGATTTTGTTGGAGAAAAATAAACAAAAAAGGTAAAAATATTGTTTTGAAATTAATGTAAACGATCGCTACTGTCGTGTCCACTGTCAAACCCAAAACTAATGGTCTCAGGATTTTTAATTGTAGGTGCCATGCATGAGCGATTATGTTTAAATGCACCAATTATGTCTTCTCTGTGTAAAATGTGAAAACAATAACATAAAGACGTTCCGTTGACACGTGATCGTAATTGAAATGCACCGGCTGACATTCGCGTCCAGTTTGTAACGATCATTCATTCACCTATATTTTCTTACTGCGCATCAGCAAAACCTCAATTTTTGTGTTAGTGACATAGCATGTGCACATGAATCATTGACGTGTACAAGCGGGGAACACAAATGGAATATGGCGGAGAATGGGTAGGTAACGTTTTTGTGTCCTGAAATTTAACGATCGACACAAGTAACGATCATTCACAGTTCTTTATTAATAGTTGAAGTATTGTATAATAATGCAAATATTTACCAGTCCTATGAAGAAGAAATGTATAAAGTCTATCGATATCCACGAACTTTATATTTCCCTTGGTTACAATAAAAAAATGTTTTTATATTATCATGCAAAAAGACACCGTTTTAAGAAACGATTGTTACATACGGACACTTAGATCTTGTGTCTAGGTAACAATCAAGCAAAATTGTGGAAAACACATAATTTTTAAAGCAAATATTAATGGTTAAATATACCACGGACTTTAATGTCACAAGTTTTCATTTGCATACATGCAAATACACTGCAACTATTGTAATGCCTACTAATGACAATACAGTCCCTATTTCTGTGATGATTGTAACATTGAGACACCAAATTATGTAGCGATTGTTACAAATTAGACACAAGAATTCAAAGTGATTGTAACATAGGGACACCAAAATTATGCGTCTCTGTAACAATCATGTTGAATTGCAGAAAAACATGTTTATTTTAGAAAATATTTATGTGCAGTAATGCCATCTTCATTTTAATGGACTTTAATGTCAATTTTTTTCATTTACATACTTGCAAAATGCTCTGTAAATATTGAAGTGACAATATAGTCACTATTTTTGTGATGATTGTAACATGGAGACGCCAGAATAAAACACAATTGTTACATTGAGACTCCAAAATTTTAAGTGATAGTTACACAGGGACACTAAAATCTTGAATTGCAGAAATAAACATGTTTATGTTAGACTTAATAAATATTATAATGCCATCTGCATTTCAAATGTCAAAAGTTTATTTTTGCATACTCCCAATGCACTGCCACTATTGTAATGATTATACTGGCATTTCTGTGATGATTGTAACATTGAGACACTAGTACACCTAAAGATTGTTACACATGGACACGAAGATTTTATATTTAAACAAAGATCTTGTTGCATTAAAGAAAATATTATATTTCAGGAAAAATTTATTGAAATAAACTTTGCGCAATAATATCGGATAAGACTAAAATGTAGTGTGATTGCCTGATACCGAAGAAACCACTTTAAATCCGGTATATTATATACGTTTCATATACTATACTTCCACTCTAAGAGTGGGGGCTATATTGCAATCACCTTGTATAAAAATCCGTCTGTTTGTCCATTTGCCTGTTAAATATTTTTGTCAAACACTACTTCAAATTAATGAGCGGAATGACCCATACTTGGCCACCAGCTTAACAGTGATGAGTTGTAATGTGTGAATATAAAAAAGAAGATGTGGTATGATTGCCAATGACACAACTCTCCACAAGAGACCAAAATAACTCGGAAATTAACAATTATAGGTAACCGTACGATCTTTAACAATGCGCAAAGCCCATACCGCGTAGTCAGCTTTAAAAGGCCCTGAAATGACAAATGTAAAACAATTCAATCGAAAAAACTAAAGGCCTTATTTATATAAAAAAAACCAATATGTAACACATAAACAAACGACAACCACTGAATTACAGGCTCCTGAATTGGGACAATCACATACATACATAATGTGGTGGGGTTAAACATGTTAGCAGGATCCCAACCCTCCCCCTAACCTGGGACAGTGGTATAACAGTACAACATAAGACCGAACTATTAAAATCAGTATATGGATGCCTCATGTTACGAAGTTTCCGTCAGTCACATGTCTAATGTCCTTGACCTCATTTTCATGATTCAGTGACTACTTGAAAAAAAAGTTAAGATTTTTTGTAATGTTAAATTCTCTTTTATTATAAGTAATAGGATAACTATATTTGGTATGTGCGTACCTTGCAAGGTCCTCATGCCTGTCAGACAGTTTTCACTTTACCTCGACCTCATTTCATGGATCAGTGAACAAGGTTAAGTTTTGGTGGTCAAGTCCATATCTCAGATACTATAAGCAATAGGTCTAGTATATTCGGTGTATGGAAGGACTATAAGGTGTACATGTCCAACTGGCAGGTGTCATCTGACCTTGACCTCATTTTCATGGTTTAGTGGTTATAGTTAAGTTTTTGTGTTTTGGTCTGTTTTTCTTATACTGTATGCAATAGGTCTACTATATTTGGTGTATGGAATGATTGTAAGGTGTACATGTCTAGCTGGCAGGTGTCATCTGACCTTGATCTCATTTTCATGGTTCAGTGGTCAAAGTTAAGTTTTTGAGTTTTGGTCTTTTTTTCTAATACTATATGCAATAGTTCAACTATATTTGGTGTATGGAAATATTTTATGATCTATTTGTCAGTCACGCAGGTTTTTTTTTACCTTGACCTCATTTTCAAGGTTCATTGCTCAGTGTTAAGTTTTTATACGACTGCAAAAAAATTTTTGTGGTTGTATATTGGTATGACGTTGGCGTCGTCGTCGTCGTCGTTGTTGTCGTCGTCGTCCGAAGACACATTAGTTTTCGCACTCTTACTTTAGTTTAAGTGAATGGATCTCAATGAAATTTTACCATAAGGTTCAATACCACAAAAGGAAGGTTGGGATTGATTTTGGGGGTTATGGTACCAACAGTTAAGGAATTAGGGGCCAAAAAGGGGCCAAAAATAAGCATTTTTGTAATTTCCAGACATAACTTGTGTGTAAGTGTATGGATCTCTCTGACATTGTACCACAAGGTTCCATATCACAAAGGGAATGCTGGGATTTATTTTGGGGGTAATTGTCGCCAAATTTTAGGAATTAGGGGCCAAAAAGGGGCAAAAAACAAGCATTTTTCTAGTTTCATGACAATAACTTGTGTGTAAGTCTATGGATCTCTCTGAAATTGTATCACAAGGTTCCATATCACAAAGGGAATGCTGGGATTGATTTTGGGGGTACTTGCCTCCAAATTTTAGAAATTAGGGACCAAAAAGGGGCAAAAAACAAGCATTTTTCTAGTTTCATGACAATAACTTGTGTGTAAGTGTATGGATCTTTATGAAATTGTACTACAAGGTTCCATATCACACAGGGAAAGCTGGAATTGAGTTTCGGGGTAATTGCCCAAAAAGTTTAGGAATTAGGGACCAAAAATAAGCATTTTTCTAGTTTTCAGACAAAAACTTGTGTTCAAGTGTATGGATCTCTCTGAAATTGTACTGTGAGGTACCATACCACAAAGGGAAGGCTGGGATTGATTTTGGGGGTAATTCCCTCAAAATTTTAGTAATTTGGGGCCATAAAAAGGCAAAAAAACAAGCATTTTTCTAGTTTCAGGACAATTACTTGTGTGTAAGTGTATGGATCTTTATGAAATTGTACTGCAAGGTTCCATATCACAAAGGGAAAGCTGGGTTTGAGTTTGGGGGTAATTGCCTTAAACGTTTAGGAATTTGGGGCCAAAAAGGGGCCAAAAAATAAGCATTTTTCTAGTTTCCAGACAATAACTTGTGTTCAAGTGTATGGATCTTTCTGAAATTGTACTGCAAGGTACCATACCACAAAGGGAAGGCTGGGATTTATTTTGGGGGTAATTCTCTCAAAATTTTAGTAATTAGGGGCCATAAAAGGGCAAAAAAAACAAGCATTTTTCTAGTTTCAGGACAATAACTTGTGTGTAAGTGTATGGATCTTTATGAAATTGTACTGCAAGGTTCCATACCACAAAAGGAAAGCTGGGATTGAGTTTATGGGTGATGAATCATAAGGGGGTTCAAAAAATTTGGGGGGGGGGATTTTTTTTCCTTTTTTTTCTTTAAAATTTACCATTTTAAATTGGTTATTTCTGATTTATATATAAAAAGCAAATAATAATGATATGGTTTGAATAGGTAAATTAAAATTTTTTAAGTTATTAGACCACTTTCATTCTGTGTCAGAAACCTATGCTGTGTCAAATATTTAATTACAATCCAAATTCAGTGCTGCATCAAGCTTGAATGTTGTGTCCATACTTGCCCCAACTGTTCAGGGTTCGACCTCTGCGGTCGTATCAAGCTGCGCCCCAGCGGAGCATTTTATTGTGTTTTGGTCTGTTTTTCTTAAACTATAAGCAATAGGTCAACTATATTTGTTGTATGGAAGAAATGTTAGCTGTACATGCCTGCCTAGCATGGTTCATCTGACCTTGACCTCATTTTCATGGTTCATTGGTTAACTTAATGTTTAGTTTACTTGGTTAATGTTAAGTTTATGTGACAGTTGTAATAAAGCTTTATATTTAGGACTATCAACATAATATCAATGATTAGTAAAGAAGGCGAGACATTTCAGCGTGTGCACTCTTGTTTATCAGCTCATAGACATAATTTTGTCATGTGATCGTGACGTCATCAACGTTTTTTCATGATTTACTCCGGTTTGAAATGGAATTAAGAATTAAATTATAAGAAATGACTGTAATATTTTTTCTGCCTATTCAAAATAAGATATAAAATGTGGTGCACACTTTAAATAACCCGCTACGCGGGTTATTCAGTGTGCACCACATTTTTTATGTTATTTCTTCATAGACAGAAAAAATATTACAGTCATTCCTTAAATACATTATCCTATGACATGGAATTATTCAATAAATTTTCATCTAATAGGTGTAATACCACCAAATCATAGTACGTCACATCCGGTTGCATACGAAAATAGGTCGAAAAAAAATATTCCCTTGAATTTGACAGTTGTAAGTTATTGATCCTACATTTCATTGCAGTAAAACATTTCTGTGTCATAAATATATATCTTGGGTTTTTCAAAGCACCATTATTTTTTTATTTGGGGTTTCTATAGAATATTTTGTTAACTTGAGGTTGCATGGTTACTAAAGCTTGTACACAGGTTAAAAAAGGGGGAAAATTTGATTGGTTAACTTCCAGTGATGGTTATTGTCTTATATGCAATGAAATGTTATGTGAATTTTTTTCTATAGTACTGGACAGGATAAAACTTTACTCATGCCAAGTATTTCTTTATTTGAAACAAAGATAAATTCTGCACATTTTTTTGAAAAGTGCAAATTTAATATAGACTAATAGGGGAAAATCAATGGTGGTATTACACCTAATAGCAAGTACATGTAAGGGCGAATAACCCTCAAAATTGACACTTAGCGGTAAATAACCTTTTCAGCCATTTGTTTTTGCACAATTATCTCCCCCATAAAGATTATTTGACATCACATTTTCAGTCATGGTTCATTGACTTTGAAAATTTTTCAATAGTTTTCATGTTTAAATGTTGCTGTTTTAATTTAAACAATTGCATTAAACTATCAAAATTGCATATAGGCGAGACATATCCCTGTGTCAACAGTTTATTACATTATCACATTTCTAAGTATAGTGAACCATAAAAATGAGATCAAAGCCTTTATTTAACATACAATTTAGAAAGATCATACTATAAGGAACATGCACATACCAAGTTTGAAGTTGATACGACTTCAACATCATAATAAACAACTTTTACCAAAAACATCTGGGACAGACCAGAAAGCATAATGCCACTGTATTATTTCTTTCAGGTCGTTTTTACGCTTAAAGTTGAGGTCGCAAATGCGGCCACAGATCAGCAATGATGTCCAAACAAATACCATACATTTATCAGAATCTGCATCACAAAAAAAAACTGCTGCACAAAGGTCAAAGAATTACAGGGACAAAATAAAACAAGACCCTGAAAAATATATTGCATACTTAGAAAGAGAAAAAGAACGAAATAGAAAATGGAGGGAAAATTGGTCTTCTGAACAAAAAATCAATCAGAGGGAAAAAACGAGGTTACGAGTACGTAAATGGGGAGAAGAAAGAAAACCAGAGGAAATTGTTAAATTAAAAAAAAAACCTAAACCAAAAACACGTGCACAAGTAAGTTCAGAAAGAGAATACTGGCAGAGAAAAAAAGAAGAACAACGAGCAAAGTACTCAAGCCAAAAGAGAAGAAGAATTAATGAAAAAAGGCGGTTGCAATACAAATTGAATAAATCCAAGAGCACAACTGAAAACCTAATGCCAGCTGAATCAACAGAAACTCACCAAGGGTATTCAACAAAGGAAGCAGAAAGAAAGGCTGTGTACAGAGCCTCGTTGCATCTACCTTCATCACCTGAAAAGTTTGCATCTGTAGTTGGGGGGTTGACTGCTAAGGCAACTCCAAGAAAAAGAGAAGCATTGACCAAACATGGCCTTTTACTGACACCAACAAAAAAAAGACATCTTAGGATAAGCCAAGAAATAATCTGCAAGATGAAAGATGATTTGCATAAAACCAGAAAACATCGCACTAAGGAGGTTTTAAAGAAAAGAAGACTTTTAACTAGCTTCATACTTAAAGATGCTGAAAAGAGAAAGGCTGGCATTTCTTGGAAATTTGCAGTTAAATGTTCAAAACTTAAAGATGTATGGGAAGAAGATTCTGAAACACCAAAAAGAAGTGATGCTTTGACAGAAGATACAATTGACAAGATAGAAAAATTCTACAAAGATTTTGACACTGTATGTCTGCCGGATAAAAAACAGGCATCATTGAAATCTGAAGAACCAAAAAGAATCTTGCAGAGCAGTTTAAGGGACAACTACAATGAATTCTTTAAAGAAAACCAAGAATGTACATTAAATTTTTCCAAGTTCACTGCACTAAGACCCAAGACTGTACAGACTATGAGTAAATCTATTTTTAACAATTGTCTTTGTGAGTATTGTACAAATATTCAATATAAAGTAAAGGCACTAAATATTAAAGGAATTAACACCAGATATGACTTGTTAGCAAGAACTGTATGCCAAAAACCAGAAGGATCTAGATATTACAAAATTGAATGTGTTAAAAGGTTATGCAAATTATGTGGGGTAGATAAGTTTATTTCCCAGTTAGACTTGAACAAAAGGCATATTATACAATGGTATAAATGGGAAACGCAGACGTATATGCATGCAAATGAAAAAAAATCAAAGAAGGTTCTAAGTTTAAAGAAAGAGAGTGTCAATAATTTCCTTGAAGAGCTCAAAAAAGAATTACAGCCATTCAGTGCTCACTTAAATACTGCCTGGTGGCAACATGACCAATTCAGACATGTGACACAGAATTTGCCGTCTGATTGGACTGTTTTCTGTAGTGATTTTGCAGAAAATTACACATGTATATACCAGGATGAAGCACAAAGTGCACATTGGTCTCATGACACAGTTACTCTTTTCAGCATTGTTGCCTACATCAGATGCAAATTCTGTAAGTTAGTCGTAACTCAAAGCATGATCTATGTGTCAGAAGACAAAAAACATGACTTTCATTATGTTCAACATTGTATTTCATTGGCAAACGAGTATATACAAAGAGTTTATGAGATTAAATCTAAGAGGCAGATTCACTTCAGTGATGGAGCAGCATCACAGTTCAATTCGAAAACCCCATTTGCAGATGCTCTTCACAGCAAATCAGACTTTGGTTTTCCTGTTGAGAAACACTTCTTTGGAAGCAGGCATGGTAAAGGACCATGTGATGGTGAATTCGGGGTTATTAAAAGAATTGTAACAAATGCTGTAAAAAACAGAAAAGCCATGGTGAAAAATGCAAGTGAATTCTTTGATTTTGCAGAGGCAAATTTAAGACGGCCAACACTAGACTCGCAGAATGAATGTTGTCATTTTAGAAGAAATTTCTTCATAGTAAAGGAAGGTGATGTCAACAGAAAACGCCAAGAGAGGACCAATGTGAAGGCTGTTCCTGAAACCAGACAACGTCATTCTGTGAGGGCTTCCAATGATTCGGCTTCTCTAGAAAAGCGCACACTTAGCTGTTTTAGCTCAACATGCATACAAGGATCTGGTTCCTGTCATAATGTAGACATGGTAGAAGGTTGGATAAAAGAGACACAAAGAAGACAGTTGAACAAGAAAGACACCTCTAAAAAAAGTAAGAAAGTTGACAAGAAAAATGTCAAAGGTTTGTTTAAGGAAACTCCTAGAAAACAGTTGAGCAAGAAAAACCAAAGAGCAACTCGTTCAAATAGCCACAAAAAAAGCAGACTCACAAGAAAGAACACAGGATTTACCAAAACAAAAAGAATTTAACAGACAAGACACAACAGTTGAAGAATTGCACTCTCTTGAAAATACCTCACCACAAATCAATGAACTATCAGTCAATATTGCAAGAGTGCAAGATGATAAGGACACTCTTTTTGAAGTTATATTACAAACTTTGAAGAGCTCTACTACAGTAGATGACATGATGATTAAAGGAACTGAACTCGCAAGTGTAATACCACATCTTAGGTGCAACAAAGATGAAGACATTTCTATTTCTGGAAGTGGGTTACATATTGACAAGTTCGGGATGGAACTGTTGCCGGCTGATGTCAAGGAAGAAGGATATTTCCCTGCAAGTGTACTTGGTGATGGAAATTGCTTGCCTAGGTCTGCTAGTGTGATAATGTATGGAACAGAAAACAATCATACGGAACTACGTGCCAGAATTGCATTAGAACTGGCATGCTATTTGCCGCTGTATGTGGACCATACATATTTAAGGAGAGGTGAACAACTATCTGATAAAGAAGCGCTTGTTCTCCCAAAGTCTTACGTTATGTATTCAGAGCTGTATACACCTGGAGATATAATTACTTCATCTTTGATAGAAAGAACACTATTTGAAGAGATTAGGAAAGTATGCAGTGCAAATGAATTCATGGGAATTTGGCAGATTTTTGCACTTGCATCAGTTTTGGGAAGGCCTCTGCAATCAGTTTATCCAAATCGTGGAAATCCAAATGTGAGAAAAGATCTCAATCGATCAATCTTGCCAAGGGAATGGAAAGCAACACACCTCCATATATCCTCTGGTCATCAAACAGAAATGATGAAATGACATATGCTCATTGGATTCCAAACCATTTCTGTCCAATTTTGAAGATGTCCATAAATGATGATGTCCTTGAATACAGTACTGACACTCTTGGAGATATAGACCTGGAAAACATCAGCGGGTTGTCTGAGCAGCTGGCTTCATGGGTCATGGATTTACTTGATGACAGTGATTCAGACGTCAGCAATAACCAATATAATATGGTAAATATTTCTATAATGTTAGATGTGTTCATGATCATACAGTAATGGACAATGATGGAGCAACTTTTTTTTAATAAGTTGTTTACTTTATTTAGCCTTTTTAACTTTATTGGATTCCAGCGTCACTGATGAGTCTTTTGTAGACGAAACGCGTGTCTGGCTAGATACAAAATTAATCCTTGTATCTATGATGAGATTTTTAAACAGTTAATGTATTGCTTTCACTTGGTACGTGGATTTGTTTTCACTTGATTATCACAGTGTGTAAGAATTATATGAATTATATGCTATTACATGCATTACAATTTCATGCTGTTTTTCAGGATGAGACCACAGCTGATCAACACTCCTCATTGGATAAACTGACAGATAACCAGTCCTCGATGACAGTTAAACCCATGGATGTCCAAACTTTTGCTTCAGTTCAACCGGAAGAGGCTCTGATGTCCAACTTGCAGGACAACAGTGAACAGAGCAACAATAGTATTGTTGTGTCTAAGGTATCTATATTTGTTATGTAAATTGCAGACCCAGACTTTGGGCATGATCATACAGTTATAATGGACAATGATGGAGCCACCCATTAAAAATTTTTTTTAAATAAGCTGTTTTAGACCCATTAATGTATTGCTTTCATTTGGTACGTGGATCTTTTTTGTCTTGATGATGAAAGGTGTGCAAGAATTTTATGCCATTACATGCATTACAATTTCATGCTGTTTTTCAGGATGAGACCACAGCTGATCAACACTCCTTATTGGATAAACTGACAGATAACCAGTCCTCGATGACAGTTAAACCCATGGATGTCCAACCTTTTGCTTCAGTTCAACCGGAAGAGGCTCTGATGTCCAACTTGCAGGATAACAGTGAACAGAGCAACAATAGTATTGTTGTGTCTAAGGTATCTATATTTATTATGTAAATTGCAGACCCAGACTTTGGGCATGATCATACAGTTATAATGGACAATGATGGAGCCACCCATTAAAAAAAAAATTAAATAAGCTGTTTTAGACCCATTAATGTATTACTTTCATTTGGTACGTGGAACTTTTTTGTCTTGATGATGAAAGGTGTGCAAGAATTTTATGCCATTTCATGCATTACAATTTCATGCTGTTTTTCAGGATGGGACCACAGCTGATCAACACTCCTTATTGGATAAACTGACAGATAACCAGTCCTCGATGACAGTTAAACCCATGGATGTCCAACCTTTTGCTTCAGTTCAACCGGAAGAGGCTCTGATGTCCAACTTGCAGGATAACAGTGAACAGAGCAACAATAGTATTGTTGTGTCTAAGGTATCTATATTTATTATGTAAATTGCAGACCCAGACTTTGGGCATGATCATACAGTTATAATGGACAATGATGGAGCCACCCATTAAAAAAAAATTAAATAAGCTGTTTTAGACCCATTAATGTATTGCTTTCATTTGGTACGTGGAACTTTTTTGTCTTGATGATGAAAGGTGTGCAAGAATTTTATGTCATTTCATGCATTACAATTTCATGCTGTTTTTCAGGATGAGACCACAGCTGATCAACACTCCTTATTGGATAAACTGACAGATAACCAGTCTTCGATGACAGTTAAACCCATGGATGTCCAACCTTTTGCTTCAGTTCAACCGGAAGAGGCTCTGATGTCCAACTTGCAGGATAACAGTGAACAGAGCAACAATAGTATTGTTGTGTCTTAGGTATCTATATTTATTATGTAAATTGCAGACCCAGACTTTGGGCATGATCATACAGTTATAATGGACAATGATGGAGCCACCCATTAAAAAAAAATTAAATAAGCTGTTTTAGACCCATTAATGTATTGCTTTCATTTGGTACGTGGAACTTTTTTGTCTTAATGATGAAAGGTGTGCAAGAATTTTATGCCATTACATGCATTACAATTTCATGCTGTTTTTCAGGATGAGACCACCACTGATCAACACTCCTTATTGGATAAACTGACAGATAACCAGTCCTTGATGACAGTTAAACCCATGGATGTCCAACCTTTTGCTTCAGTTCAACCGGAAGAGGCTCTGATGTCCAACTTGCAGGATAACAGTGAACAGAGGGACAATAGTATTGTACTGTTCCAAGAGAAGCCCTTATATGACCAGCTCTTAGTCTCTGAGCACTACACTAAAAGATGTAATGAGCAACAGAGGTAAGGAAAATATTAGTGATGAATAGACTTGTTGTTTTAATGTACATAAGACAATAACATTCAAAATCAAGGAGTAAACAACAGACATTTACAAACAGTTAAAGTAAGTAAGTAACAACACAAACTCCACTTAAAACTGGCAGTGAAATCAGGTGCTCTGGAAGGGTAGGCATTTCCTGCACCGTATAAGGCACCTGTTGTGTTATTTCTTTGTCCAGTCCTTTAATGATGGAAGGCTACTTGTGACTGAGGAAGAATACTAGATACAATTTCTGACACACTTTTGTCATAATGGCAGATCAGCTCATGATGGCTATGATAAAATTTCTTGAGTGCTGACTGTAATTCCTGTCCAAGTAATGTTTCTACATATGTCTGATAACCATGTATGCAACTGTTCATAAATTATTGAAGTTGACTTCAGATATCAGTGTAATTATTTGTTCATAATTCAGCTTCCAAATTTACTCAACTTTATATTTACATTGTATTAGTTATATGAGTGGCAATATTTGCTTATTGCCCAAGGGACAAAAACATACCCTGCTGTTGTAAGTATTGCAGTTTTGTTCAGTTTAAGTTAAAGTTTTATTATGTTTTACTGTTATATTTTCTAGGATTGTTTTGCAGAAACTTCTAAATGTCTAATTAACCACTATTTTGTATCATACTTTTGTAAAAATTTTGAATTTCCAGAATTTTAATAAAGGGTTCTTGTATTCTAGATTGATCTTTAGTTCAAATAATTAGATATTATACATGTAGTAGGTTTTATAATTTCTATATAATTACATAAATTTCTAAAATGTAACTTTAAATTACACAATTTTAGAGGGATAAATAGTTAGTTTACACATATCATAATTATTTGTGATTGGGGTTTGCAACAACATCAGCTTACAGTTGTAATAAGCAGTTGCTTTAACTTTTTGCTGATCTGATGACATTGAACTGTATGGTATCGATATATAAGTGGTTGTTATTTTTTATACCTTTTTGAACAATAAAAAAATCAATACTGTGTTGTTTTAGGTTGATGTGTGGCCCTATGTTTACTTCTATACCCACAAGAAGGAGGACTTGTGGATAAGTGCATCGATACGCCATTCCATAATATCATCAGAGGTGGTC